GGGGAGGCCAGTTGGTGAGCCACCCTGGGTTTTCCATGTCACTCACTGAAGACAAATGACAGCAGGGCAAGCTTTTCTGGCAGAACCATTGGGAAATTATTTTGGGCCTGGGCCTTTCCAGACACCCAGAATGAGGCTGAGTCCAGCCACATCTGCCCAGGCACGGCCTTAGGCTTTTCGGGAGTGCGTAGAGTGGAGAGGTGGCTTCGTGGAGAAGGGGTTGGCTGAAATGACAGTGGCTGGGACTCCTCTATCTGCCTCCCAGAGCTGGGTGAGCAGACACAGGTGGGTCACGATGTGAGCAGGTGCCGGGGGTCTAGGGTGCAGCTGGGGACCTGGGAGTGTCCAGATCCCAGCTGGGCTCGCCAGACAGTGAGAGTTGAGGGCCTGCACTTGTCTCCAGGCTTCTCTGGACCAGGTTCTAGGGCTTAAGCTCTCTCATCTTGGGTAAAGCCTTTTATGGTGTTAACTGATCAGGATGCTCCAGGGGCTGCCTGGGGCCTGGGAGAGTCCAGAGGCCAAGACAAGGCTCTGTCGGGTCTGTTCCAGCCTTAGAAATACCTCATCTACCCTTCTCTTCATCTGTGAAGAGAGGATTCTTTAGAGATAGTTACAGGGCACCTGTGCTCACTAGAGACACAGAAAGTGGGAATTACTCCCCCCCAGGGGATGATCACTCCGCAGTCCCTTCTAGTCTCCTCTCAGGAACACGTGCGCGCGCACACACACGTGCTCGGTGTGAGTTTTAAGCAGCCTGGCCCGTGACTCAAACTGTGGTCAGTCGACTGTGTAGGAGTCCAATGATGTACCCATTACGCCATCTGCTGGTCTCCAGAGGGTTCTTAATCTGAGGTCTGTTGGGCCAACAGGTGGCTTGGAGGTTAAGGGTGCTGGACTCCCACATGGCTGATTTGAATCCCTGACCTCGCGGCTTGCTTTCTCCCTCTTTTTTTTCCCCTTCCTCTCTAGCACTGGGGTTGCAGCGACCATCCCACCTGGTGGTGATTTCTCACTTTCCCTCGTGTCTGTCTCCCTCTCCAGCAAGTGCAAGTGCCGTAAGGCAAAAACCTCTTTAAAAATGCTTTAAATCATTAATAATAAAATCTTATTAGCGGCTATATGGACATTGCTGCATGAATGGTGGGAAGATTCACAAGTTTCAGTTTTCACTTCGCAGTAGGGGACTGGTCTCAGCGAATCACTGTTTGGTAGGTTTCTGTAACTGCCTTGTTAACCCCTCTGTACACCAACCTGGTCACTCCACAGACGGCTGACGGTGCTCCCAGCTCTTACACCCATAATTAGTTTTCCTGTGGTAACACTTTAGCCCGTGGTTTGTTGTTAACCAAACATACTACCTACAACCAAGAAGTGAATAAAAAGAGGGGCTGGCCAGGGACATGCTGGTTGAGGTGCTGGACTCCCAAGGGCCAATTGCAGTTCAAGTCCTGGACCTGGCAGCTTGCTTTCTTACTCTCCCTGTCTTTCACTCCTTATCTCTCTCTGGTCAAATTGGATAATAAAATAAATAATTCCTTTAAAAAGAAAGTAAGATAGGGAAGATGGGCTAGCCAGTGGTTAAGGCAGCTGGACCCCACATGGCCAATCGCACGGTTTGAATGGCAGACCTGGTAGCTTGTCCCAAGTCCTGTGAGAATGGAGAAGGGGTCGTGGAGTGGCCATCCCTTCTGGGGGGTGGGTTCTCACCTTCTCTGCCTCTCTCTGGCGAGTGCATGCACTCTAGGGCAAAACCCTAAAAAGATAATCACTAATTGTCATGGAATAAAAACCCAAACCATAATGAGACGCCACTTTACACTCATTAGAATGGCTGATACCAAAAGGGAGAAAGCAGTACTGACAAGGGCCTGGAGAAATTGAACCCTGCGTGTTGCTGGTGGGAGTGCAAACAGTGAAGCCTCCGTGGGAGACAACTTGTGGGAGATCCTTTACAAAATGAAATGGAGTTGCCACAGAATCCAACAGTTTCACTTTGGAATATATGCAGAATTGAAAACAGAGATGAGGCCAGGATTTGGTGTGCTTGGGTGGGGTGGGACGGCGAATGCGCTAGACCCCCACGGCTGCCTGCAGTTTCTGTCTCAGACCTGGTAGCTTGGAAACCTCACAGGGGGCCCCAAACACGTGTGTGTGCCCCAAACCCAGAGAGTGGAGAAGGGATTGCAGCATGGCCATCCGCCCTGGGGAGCGATTTCTTTCCCTCTCCCCAGCAAGTGCATGTGCCTTGAGACCAAAAACACGTGTGTACACTACTGTCCGTAGCAGCGTGCTCACAATAACCGGAAGACAGAAACAGTGCAGACCTGTCAACGGATGGAAGGGTAAACTGGGGCATACTTACGCCGAAGGGCAGAGTAAGCCTTATAAAGGAATAGTTTGACACGTGCTCCGACGTGAACGAGCCCTGGCGACATTACGCGAAGTGAAAAAAGCCAGACGCACAAGGAGAAACATGCGTTACTCCACTTATTCAGGGTATCTGAGATAGTCAAATTCAGAGACAGAAGTAGTTTTGGTTTGGGAAGATGACAAAGCTCTGGGGATGGAAAATGGACCTGGTTGTACAGTAACTTATTTTTTCTTTTGTTGCTTTGTCTCTTTAATTTGCTCTAGGGTGTGTGTGCTCATCAGAGAGGGGATGTAAGAAAAAGCACCCACCCCCACCCCCCAGCGGGGATGGCCTCACTACAACCCCTGCTCCTCCATTCTAGATTCTGGGCATGCACACTCATGCACTTAGCACATTTCTCAAGTTGCCTGGCCTGGGACTTGAACTGTGCAGTTAGCTGTGTGGGATCCAGCCATCCTAGCCACCATGCCCCCAGCTGGTCCACAAGGATGTAGATAAAGCCACTGAACTGTACACTTAAAAATGATTAAAATGGTGGGCCGGCAGGTGGTGTGGAGGTCAACATAGCTGGACCCCACATGGCTGGCTGTGAGTTCAAGTCTCTGGACCAATGGCTTGAAAATCAGGCTGGGTGGGCGTGTGCACGCCCAAAATTGGAGAAGAGACCAGAAAAAGCACAGCACTGCTTTCTTCTCTTTTAAAGAAACTGTTCTGATTGATTTTGATCGACTCAAAACTTTATCCTCAGACCCATGTTTGGATTTGTCTTTAATACTTAAGATAGAATCCAGCTATTTAAAAAGATACTAGTACGAAGAGCTTGGTAGAATTGCAGGTATCAAGGACCAGACTGGGAGCAGCAGGCAGCAGGTGGTGGTGTGGTGGTGAAGGTGCTAGACTCCCACATGGCCCACCGTGCTTCAGGTCAGGACCCGGCAGCTTGAAAATCCTGCTAGGCACGTGGGCACGCATGCCGCAAATGCCCGGGGGGTGGGGATGTGGCCGTCTGCCCGGGAGGTGGTCTCTCACTTTGCCTCTCACCTTCTCTCTCCGGTGGCAAACCCTAGAAACACAGGACTCCAGCACAATGCAGGTGTGACTTTAAAAAGAGGGTTCTGCCTTAGGGCAAGTGTGCCCACCAGAGACAGAGATGATGAGAAGGAGAGTGAGAACTCGCCTGCCGCAGGATGGCCACACAGCAGTCCCTTCTCCTGGGACCTTGGGCATGCATGCACATGTGCCTGGCGTCAACGGATGGAAGGGTAAACTGGGGCATACTTACGCCGAAGGGCAGAGTAAGCCTTATAAAGGAATAGTTTGACACGTGCTCCGACGTGAACGAGCCCTGGCGACATTACGCGAAGTGAAAAAAGCCAGACGCACAAGGAGAAACATGCGTTACTCCACTTATTCAGGGTATCTGAGATAGTCAAATTCAGAGACAGAAGTAGTTTTGGTTTGGGAAGATGACAAAGCTCTGGGGATGGAAAATGGACCTGGTTGTACAGTAACTTATTTTTTCTTTTGTTGCTTTGTCTCTTTAATTTGCTCTAGGGTGTGTGTGCTCATCAGAGAGGGGATGTAAGAAAAAGCACCCACCCCCACCCCCCAGCGGGGATGGCCTCACTACAACCCCTGCTCCTCCATTCTAGATTCTGGGCATGCACACTCATGCACTTAGCACATTTCTCAAGTTGCCTGGCCTGGGACTTGAACTGTGCAGTTAGCTGTGTGGGATCCAGCCATCCTAGCCACCATGCCCCCAGCTGGTCCACAAGGATGTAGATAAAGCCACTGAACTGTACACTTAAAAATGATTAAAATGGTGGGCCGGCAGGTGGTGTGGAGGTCAACATAGCTGGACCCCACATGGCTGGCTGTGAGTTCAAGTCTCTGGACCAATGGCTTGAAAATCAGGCTGGGTGGGCGTGTGCACGCCCAAAATTGGAGAAGAGACCAGAAAAAGCACAGCACTGCTTTCTTCTCTTTTAAAGAAACTGTTCTGATTGATTTTGATCGACTCAAAACTTTATCCTCAGACCCATGTTTGGATTTGTCTTTAATACTTAAGATAGAATCCAGCTATTTAAAAAGATACTAGTACGAAGAGCTTGGTAGAATTGCAGGTATCAAGGACCAGACTGGGAGCAGCAGGCAGCAGGTGGTGGTGTGGTGGTGAAGGTGCTAGACTCCCACATGGCCCACCGTGCTTCAGGTCAGGACCCGGCAGCTTGAAAATCCTGCTAGGCACGTGGGCACGCATGCCGCAAATGCCCGGGGGGTGGGGATGTGGCCGTCTGCCCGGGAGGTGGTCTCTCACTTTGCCTCTCACCTTCTCTCTCCGGTGGCAAACCCTAGAAACACAGGACTCCAGCACAATGCAGGTGTGACTTTAAAAAGAGGGTTCTGCCTTAGGGCAAGTGTGCCCACCAGAGACAGAGATGATGAGAAGGAGAGTGAGAACTCGCCTGCCGCAGGATGGCCACACAGCAGTCCCTTCTCCTGGGACCTTGGGCATGCATGCACATGTGCCTGGCATGAGTTTCAAGCCACTGGCTCCAGGACTCAAACCATAGTGGACCACATGGGAGTCCAGTGACATAACTGTTTCGCTATCTGCTAGCCCCAGGACTTCTTTTTTTTTACAAAGTGGTTTTTGGGGAGAGGTCAGGGCAGAGGTAAGAAGTAGTTGCTACTGACGGAGGAGTTAGGGACCTTCATGGAAATACATCATTACTTTAAGGCAGCTAGCAGATGGCCCTGAAATTTATGACACTCGGCGTGCATTTCCAGAAAGAGCAAATGTGGATTTAATAGTAACTTTGTATAGAAAGGCAGATGCCAGCGAGCGTGAGAGTGGCCTGGGCGGACGGCGGGGACGCTGGAGCCCTGGAAGCCGCGAGGCGCTCGTCCATCACGCGGCCATCTGGAAGGCAGGGACACCTGGTCACCAGAGGAGATCCCTCACACGGCCAAAACGTTTCTGGGGCCAGCATTTGATGAGGACAGCATGCTCGGGGATCAGCAGTGCTGACTGCGTGGAATTTAGACCCCCAAGAAAATCTCCTACTGAACGCTGCCATGGTGACAGTGCCTGTGCTCTTGCTTTGACGCACTCACACCCTAACCCCGTGGGTGATGCCTGTAGGTTGCAGGGACAGGGCACAGCTTCAGAGGGCTGTGACGTAAGGGGACAGCACATTCATCGTCCCCACCCGCCCACTCACTCAAGTCCTCTTACCCGAGACCCATCCTGGGCTGACCCAGGGTGCACGTGCAGACACATCCCCGCCCGGTGGGGTCCCGCCTTGTGCCCAGTGCGTTCAGAACCTTCTAGACTCGGACATTTGCCATTTCTGACTCCTATGAGGGTCAGTACCACGAGGAGCCCCTGCACCTGGTGGTCCTGGAGACCTGGCTCAGGGCAGGATGGGGAACGTGTTCTGAGATCAGCCTCCAGGGCCTTAGAAACCAGGAAGATGCTCCCCAAGGACAAGAGAGGGGCCAAGGCTCTGGGGAGGGCTGCAGGGGGGTTGCCCATCCTGGGGACTGTTGGGGTCCCCCTGCCGGAGGGAAGGAGCACTACACAGCATCTCCGGGCTCAAGACACCCGGTCTTTTCTCATGTACTTCCTTCAACAGAAGTTCACAGACTTCACATACAACGTGGAGTCCCGGAGATCCCTCTCCGGTCGGGCAGCAGGACTAATGGCATTTCAGAGGGAACAGCTATGGAGGACACGGAGGGGACCAGCTCACGGAGTCCTCGCTGCTCTAAGGAGCGGAACTTTGGCTGCTAGGACCAGCCAGCCAAGAGGTGCAAGGAGAGACCCCGTTAACTGGGGGCCCCCTCAGGCGGAGGGGAACCCTGCTTACCGCAACCAGGGAGAAACGTCTGGCGGAAGCAGCGGAGGTGGCCCCGCCAGCACTTGCACAGGGAGCACGTCCTGGGCAGCCAGGTGTCGTGAGGCACGGGCCCGCAGTTCCTGGGGAGAACACGTGGTGAGCACGGTTTCGGCCCGCGCCCCTCCCGACCTCCGCGCCCCACCTGTCACGGCTTACTCTCTGTGCGCGTTGTGCTCGCAGTTCCGTCCGTAGAAAGAGGGGGGGCAGGCGCAAAAGGACCCCAGCACGCAGGTTCCCCCGTTCAGACAGCAGGTCCGGTTGAGCTCCTTACCTGAAAGGTAAGATCGCGGCGGAGACGGAAAAGCCTAAGGGTCCTTCCTGTAAAACAGATGAACTGCACCAAGGACTCGGCTCCGAGCCTGTAGACCCTAGTTGTAAACCTCACAGCAGGCTCTGCTCTGGGGCGCCCTCCTTGGTCCCCGAGCCTTGGATGGGCAGAAGTCATTGCCTTTCTTTTTTCTTTTTAAGATTTTTGCCATAAGGTATGTGTGCTAGGCAGAGAGAGACAGAGAGGGAAAGCGAGGAATCACCCACCCAGGGGATGGCCCTGTTGCAGTCCCTTCTCCACCCTCCTCTCCGGATTTTGGGCATGCAGGCCCACGTGCTCAGTGTTCTTCTCAGGCTGCTGGGTCTGCGACTTGAACCAAGCAGTCTGCCATGTGGGATCCAGCAGCCTTAACTACCACGCCACCTGCTGGCTCTGAGCTGGGAAGATTTTTCTTTTCTTTTTTTTTTAAGGATTATTTATTTTATTTATTGTTAATCATTTTTTTAAAGAGATATTTGCTATAGGGTGCATGTACTCGCTGGAGAGACAGAGACACAGAGACAGAAAGTGAGTAATCACCCCCAGGAGGGTTGGTTATGCTGCAATCCCTTCTCTATTCTTGGGCACTCCTGGGAGTTTTAAGCCACCAGCTCCAGGACGTGAACCATGGCCAACTACATGGAGTCCAATGATGTAACCATTATGCCATCTGCTGGTCCCCGTTTTCATTACTTTTTAAAATTTGATATGGGGGGCTGGCCGGTGGCGTGGTGATTAAAGCTCTGGACTCCCACATGGTCGACCATGGTCTGAATCCCAGACTTGGAAACTTGCTTTCCTACTTTCCCTTTCTGTCTCTCTCTGGTCAAATTAAATAAATAATAATGATAACAAATAAAATAATTCTTTAAAACAATTGTTGCTATAGGGTACATGTGCTCACCAGCCAGAGAAAGAGAGAGAGAGAGAGCGAGCGAGCGCACCATCAGCCATGAGGGGGTCCAGCCACCTGCTGGTGCCAGGCGGGGAAGCCATTTTCATCCTTTCCTTGTACAGGCCAGGGGTGGTTTCTGGAGTCCCCAGCATGACGTGACATCGGGTAAGGGAAAGTGCGCTCCAGGGAGATGGACTCACTATACAAAGCCCGTCTCACCTCCAGAACCAAGCCCAGTGCAGCCACCCCACTAGCTCCAGAGCCGGGGCCAGCCCTCGGGCAGGTGCCGAAGAGGCATGGAGACACGTGAAGCACAGCACGGGAGCACCAAGGCAGGGGGGAGGTCTTACTGTCCTGTATCCCCACGGATGGCACAAACTGGGAAGAACGAGGCCGAATCGCAGGCTCCTCCCGGGACCGCGCGCTGTCCTCTCTGCCGGCCAGGTCCCCCCGAGGTGGACGCGCGGGTTCACGGTGGCCCGGCCCTAACAACAAAACGAACACATGGGCTCTGCCTTTCAGGTCACTGGAAACGCTAGTGATCAAGAGAACAAGAGGTCTCTCACCGGCTGCTCCGGATCCCAGTTGGAAGGCTACGGAAATGGCCAGGATCAAAATCACACTAGGAGAAGGAACAGAGGCGTGTGAGCAAGACAAAGCGAGCGAAGTCTCCGGTTAACAGCTCATCGGGACAACACGCCTACCAGCCGCCCAAGCGCTCCCCCGTTGATGGCTAATTCATGTCAGAAAATGTTGAAAAATAAAAGTCGCGGGTGTCCAACTCTTCCATATGTACTGTTACTTCTTTTCATTTTTAAAAAAGAATTACTTTATTCCACTTTATTATTATTTTTTAAATTTGACCAGAGAAAGCCAGAGAAGAGAGTTAAAGTGAGAAATCAAGCTGCCAGGTCTAGGACTCAAACCGTGGTCAGCCATGGAGGAGTCCAGTGTCTTTTACCCCCATGCCACCTGCCGGTCCCTGTACCATTCTTTCTTATCCTGTCCTCATCTGCACACAATTCATTCTATTTCACATACCATATCCTGCTGTTTTCACATAAGAATTTAAAAAATGGCTACATGATACTCTGTTATTGACGGATCACATTTTACAGTCATTTAAAAGGTGTAAGTTAAATTTTGAAGCGTTATTACTGGGCCAGCAGGGGTCGTGATGGTTAAACAAGCTAGATTCCCTCATGGCCAACTGCACAGTTCAAGTCCTGGGCCCGGTGGCTGAAGAAACATCCCAGGTGTGTGTGTGTGTCCAAAATCCCAAGAGGGGAATGGAGAAGAGATTTCGGGGTGGCTATCCCCTCTGGGGTACTTTCTCATCTCCCTGTCCCCAAGTGCATGTGCCATGGTGGTTAAAAGTGCTGGTCTCCCACATGGCCAATGGCGGTTCGAGTCTTGGACCTGGCAGCTTGCTTTCTCACTTTCTCTCTCTCACACACTCTGTCCGTCTCCCTCTCTGGTCAAGTTAAAATAAACAAAGAAATAATTCTTAAGAAAGTATGTATTGTTCACGATTTTGCAGGTACCTGTATTGAGTCTGTTTATACATTCTGGTGGGAAGCCTATTTTTGTCTGAACTGTTGGCCTTGGTCTGCACAACAGTGGTTAGACATTCATCATCTAGGCAGAGCTGTTCCCAGCACTGGCAACGTTAAAAGCCAAGGTCAAGGTTGTACCCGCGAGGGCAAGCCAGTAGTTCCAAGTCTGTGAGGGAAGAACGGCTGCGCCGTGGGCGGCTTTTAAGGCTTCGAGTGAGACACAGACAGCGATGGAGAACGCTGCTTCCCAACGCGCGGCCTAGCAGCGAGAAGTTCAGCTCAACACTCCTACCTGGGAGCGAAGCGGCCCATGCTCCTGCGGTCCCCGGCGCTTCACGGTTTAGAGAAGACAAGTGAGCAGGACTTCAATTCAGGCATTGCCAAAGCACCCCAAAGAAAACACGTTTCCTAAAGTGAAAACGGCAAGTTAGAGAGAAAAAGTTCCAGATGAGAAATACGCTTCCTCCGGAGAGTCCTGGAGAACAGAAGCCGGGATGTCCAGGGAAGCCGAGTATGGCGACCTTGAGCTCGGATCTTCCTTCCTCAAGGACAAACCCCTGCTGGGGTGGAGGAAGACCCTGGGGGGGCGGGGAGGGGGAGGCCGCCGGGCAGGGGCTGACGCTGCAGGGCTCCCGCCCAGGTGAGGGTCACGGGCAGCGGAAACAATGCGGAATGGGGAAGGCGGAGTCTTCTTAACTAGCCCTAATAGCCCTGTCCTTGTAGGTGTAACATCCTGGGTCCGTTTTTTGAGGGGGAGGAAAAAGGCAAATCTGTGACTGCCAAGTTGGTGATTCCGACGGTCAAAACAGTAAAATGTCACTGCTTGAAAACTGGGAAAACTACACGTCATATATGGGTCTCTCAAGGCATCTGGTGTTTGACTGCCAACGTTTATGCCTTGCAATTTGTCTCACCTCTGTTTTTCCGAGAAAGCTGTGTTGAGCCCCGGGCTCCGGGGCTGTTGGGGGGCCTGCGAAGCTGTGGTCTCCTCGCAAGGAGGTAGTGCTGAGCGAGTCCAGGCGGCTTGTGTTGGAGCCGGCAGTTCAGGGTCAGGAGGGCGCCTGTCACAGCCAGTGTGCCTCCCAGGCTGAGCTGAGTCGCACGTGGAGCTGGATGGAATCTGGAGATAATGCGTGTTCGGGAGGGGTGAGCACGTGCCCAGAGGCTGTGCCACCCTCTCCAGCTGGCACCCAATGGCCGGGGCTCTGCAGGGGGTGCCAAGCCTGCTTCAGAGAAAGCTCTAGAAACACCTTGGGAATTCCTCGGCTCCCAGGTGCTGCGGGGAGCACCTGATCTCGGAAGTACTAACCCTAATGTGACTTTCATGGGGGGAGTCGGGGTCCCAGCCAGAAAAGGTGTTCCGTACGGTTCCTGCTCCGTGCCAGCCTAGGCCTTTCCGACCTAAAGGCTTCAAGTCCTGGCTGAGGTTCAGAGTGAACTTGGTCTGAAGCCCTAGCGCCGGGTGGGAGGTGGGGAGGGCTCAGCAGAGAAGCTGCCCGGCTACCTCAGGGGCTGCAGAGACAACCAGAAGGAAAGTGAGAAATCACCCCCATGGGGCAAGGCCACTACCACCCGGAGCACATCCGTGGCCACTTTGCCTGCACCTGCCACGTGCTCCGTAGACAAGGGCGCCCACTGGGGATGTGTGTCCTCTTCCGGGAAGGCGGCTCCCCTCCCCCACGGCGCTCCTTCCTTACCTGAAGGGGCTGTTGTGGGACTTCAGAGCTTGAACAAGGACCCCTGCAAATCACCTTTTTTTTTTTTCAAATCTGACATAGGGCACTCCAAGGAGACCGAGAGGATGGCCACGCTGCAATTCCTTCTCTGTTCTTCCCTTGGGATCTTGGGCACGCACACACTGGCACCCGATGTGGTTTTAAGTCGCCCGGCTGGGACTGAACGGCCTAGCCTGGTGGGCCCTGTGGGATCCAGCCGCCTTAATCAACACCACCATCTGGCTCGCCTCCTTTTCAAAGGAACTGAGCCGTAAGTTTGGCGATGTGGACAGCCCAAAGACGCCAGCCTTTCTGCCACGCAAAATTCCTTCTTACCCAAGGGCCAGATCCCACTGGAATACCTCCATTAGATTTAGAGCCACCCAATCGACCTTGAGTACCTACTGGAACCCAAAACCACACAGGGAAAGCTTCCAGCATCTGTCTGAAATTCAAGGAAGGTAGCAGATTTGGAGAATGGAATTGATTTTAGCTTTAGAATGCATTCGTGGGGCTGGCAGGTGGTGTGGTGGTTAAGGTGGCTGGACTCCCACATAGCTGACTGCGGTTCAAGTCCTGGACCTGGCAGCTTGCTTTTTCACTTTCCTTCTCTCTCTCTGTTTCTGGTCAACTTAAAAAAATAAATAAATATGGGAACCAGATATATAATAACAATGAATACAATTAAACTAAACAATTCCTTTTTTAAAAAGGCAGTTCGGGACCAGCAGGGTGACATAGAGGTTAAGGAGCTGGACTACCACATAGCTGGCTTCAGTTCAAGTCCTGGACCTGGTGGCCTGAAAATCACAGCAGGCACATGTGTGCGAGTGCCCGAAATCCTGGAGGAGAGTGGAGGAGAAGGGATTGCAGCGTGGCCTTGCCCCATGGGGGTGATTTCTCACTTTCCCTCTCGCTGTCTCTGTCTGTCTCTAGCAACATATGCACCTTGTGGCAAAAAGAAAGAAAGAAAGAAAGAAAGAAAGAAAAGCCAATTCAAGCTTGTTTCATTAGTTGAGAGTACATAGAACTGAACTCTAACTACAGAATTAAACAAAGGACACTGTGGACGCAAGGAGAGTTCCTAGGCAGAAGCATGTCTTCATCAGAGGGGTCCTGGTGTACCTGGTCTATTACCTCTGCCATTCCCCCAAATACTCAGGCAGGCCAGAAGACAGTAGGGAGCAGAGGACAGGGCTGAGGAGTTGTATACACGTGGGCGCACTTGCGTGTGTGTGTGTGTGTGTGTGTGTGTGTACACCCTCCAGCTGAGGAATGGTGGGGCAGCTCTAATCCCAGCAAATTGAGCTGGGCAAGTTCTGGGATATACCTGAGTAGCACCCCAGCTGCAGCCCGCGGGGCCTTCATTAACAAGTTAATGGCCTTCTGTTTTCACTGACAATTGAACAGAAAGCTACTGGTAACCCGTGTGGTAATCCTGCCAGTCTCTGTGGGGCTGAATGGGGTAGATTCCTGCATTCCGAAATCTGCATTCTGTGAGGATGCGCTCCACTGAGTATCTTCAGAGCTGTGTTGGAAGGGGAACAGAGGAGGGCGCGTGGAGGACCCCGGTTTTCTGTGTGGGAGGTTATGTCATATTTCTTCTTACGTAGACAGATTTTTATCAGTGAACAGGCACGAAGTGCTTCTACATTTGATGTGAGGTGACGAACGCTTGATAGCGTGACCATCCGGTCAGCTTCTCGCACTGGCGTTTGCTTAGTTCAAGGGGGTGTTTTTGTGCTAGCTCCGTGGCCTAGTGGTTAAAGCAGCCGGATCCCACACGGCTGGGCAAGAAGTTTGAGTCCTGGATTTGACAGCTTGAGGAACATGCTGGGCACGTGTGTGTGTGTGTGTGTGTGTGCGCGCGCAAAATCCTGAAAGGGGAAGGCATTGTGTGATCATTCCGACCCAGGGCGCCAGGCTCGGCTGCCTGCAGTTGCCCTATCTGGTCAATGGAGTATGATGACCTGCTTGTCCTTCACCAACCCTCCCTCCTGCCCCTTCCCACTCAGCCACCCTCTCTGGCCTAGGAGGGCCAGATACCTGGACTTGCCCAGCCTCTAGGGCATGGCCTGCCTGTGCGGATTTCCTCTTGCCCACCTGCCCTGTCCTCAACCTTGTCCGCGTCCCTGTAAACATTAAGTCTCAGCACTGGTTTCTAAACGGGGGTGGGTAAGGGCAAGGTCTGGGGGAAGTGCCAGGGGAAAACAACTTGATTCCCCAGTCTGGGGCCTGGGGCCTGGAAACACAACGTAGAAAACTCCCCCAACCATGGAGAGCCGGACCTGGAGGCCGGGTGTGTGGGCCGGACTCTGGGCCCTTGGCAAGAGTGCTCACCTGTGTGAGGGCTCTCCAGCAAGCACGGCCTGACCAGCGACTGTGCTGACCACAGCAGGGAGGCGGATTTCCAAGGTTTGGGGCCCTGGTTCCTTTCCCCCTCCCCAGGGAAAGACAAGCCCCGTGAGCTAAGCCAGGGCAGCTCCAGGGTAATTGAGAAGGAGCTGATGGGGTGTGGGCAGCCACTTCCTGACTTACACTGGCAGGGTCAAGGCCGGTGGGCCCACAGACAGGTGGATGGCCTCCAAAGAGTTAGCTTTGGGAGGACAAGTTTAATTTTCAGGAGATGTGGAGAATCTCATTTAAAAGTGCTTCTTCGGTGGGGCTGGCAGGTGGCGTGGTGGGCGACTGTGTGTGGTCCCAGAAGGGTGGCTTGATTCTCAGTTTCTCTGTATCCCTCTGTGAGCACATGTGCACTATAGCAAGTTAAATGACAATAAATTAAATTAAATTTACATGGGAGTCCAGCAACATAGCCATTATACTAATTCTTTTTTTAAATAATTATTTTATTTACTTAATTTTTAATTTGCCCAGAAAGGGATGGGGAGAGAAAGAAAGTGAGATAGCAAGCCACTGGGTCCTAGACTCGAACCACGATCAGCCATGTGGGAGGCCAGTACCCCTCACCACTATGCCACCTGCCGGCCCCTAAATAACTAATTCTTTTTCTTTTTTTGAGAGTTTTTTGCTATAGGCCATGTGCGCTCACCAGAAAAACAGAGAGAGACAGAAAGTGAGAAATTGCCCCCCACCCCCACTCCAGGGATGGCCATGCTGCAATTCCTTCTCTTCCGTTCTCCTCTTGGGATCTTAGGCACACACACACACATGTGCCCGGCGTGAGTTTAAGCCGCAGAGTCCAGGACTCGAACCACGGTCGACTACATGGGAAACCAGCGACATAGCCATTACACCAACTGCTGGTCCCTAAATAAATAATTCTTTAAAAAACGGTGCTCCCTGGACCAGCAGATGGCGTAATGGTTACATCTCTGGATTTTCACGTAGTTGACTGCAGCTCGAGTCCTGGACTTGGAGGCTTAAAACTCGCGCTGGGCATGTGTGTGTGCATGCCCAAAATCCTGAGAGGAGAATGGAGGAGAAGGGACTGTGGCGTGGCCATCCCCCCTGGAGGGTGACTTCTCACTTTCTATTTCTCTGTCTGTCTCTATCTCTCTGGAGAGCACACATGCCTTATAGCAAAAATCTCTCTCTTAAAAAAAAAAGTGTCCTCGGGAACCAGCAGTTAGCGTAATGGCTGTGTCGCTGGACTCCCATGTAGTCGACCGCAGTTCGCGTCCCGGACCCGGTGGCTTAAAACTCA